GTTTAATTAAATATGTTATCTTATTCTGAAGTTTAATTATATTTTTCCAAGTTCTCATGAAAATAAAACTGCAATATTTAATTAAAATAATTTATTTTTTGTTGTAATGCTAAGTTTATCATTAACGAATGCTTATTGCTCTAAGTAATATAAAAAAATCTTGGAATATTTTATATGAATTTCTACTGGTATAAAATAAATTTCAGCAATTTTTTAGAAATTATTTTTATTCCGTTCCCTGATAGGATGTTAGTATAACTTATTAATTTTGAGTTATATTTTTATGATAATATAGACCTATAATGTTTTGCTACAAATAAAAAATTGATCTTCGCAATTATTTTTTGTGTCAAAATATTGTTACGAATTTCACGCACAGATAAATGATTTTAGTGCAATTATATGTGAAATTGTTGAATTTTTCTGCATAACGAACGCAACACGAAAATCTACAAGAAAGATGCTCTGCTGGAAAAATACGAATACAGGGGCAAATTTATTTAACATTGAGTAAATGCGCTAATTTGGTGAGATATCGCAAAGCTGACAACGGTTTTGGCCAAAAGTCACCAAACGTAGCGACCATTTGGCGACAGTTTGGTCCGGTCCCTGTATCACCGTAATAGGTATTGTAATTGAATAACTGTAATTGATTTCATATGGTGATTTCATATAGTAGATTGAATAACTGTAATAGATTTCATATGGCCAAATTACGTAGTAAACGTAATTTTTGCTAATGCTCTTTCCGGCTTTATATAGTTTTCACGCGGCAGCCGAGATATTTCTAGCATTTTGTGCTTCTCGAAATTACTGGGAGGCATATCCAAATTACGTTTACTACGTAATTTGGCCCTGATATGCATATCAATATCTCGGCTGCCGCGTGAAAACTATATAAAGCCGGAAAGAGCATTAGCAAAAACTCACCTTAGTTGAACCTAGAAGCAAAATGATGATCCATGATTCTGCCCTCAGTTGTTGTTGTGAGTGGTTTGAGCGACTTCAGTGTATTGAAAACTTCACCTTCTAGATCTACATTACTTGCGTGGTGTTTATCATTCTTAATAGTCTGTAACTACTCATTGTACTCTGAAATATTGTGAAGACTTGTACGATTATTTTTGTGGAAAGTTCCAGAACTCTGAAGTGTTTCTTTCGATAAAATAAATTTTATTATCGGAGCAGTATGCACTCAATCTTTTACAAACCCGTACAAACGCCGCAATATTCTTAATTTTAATCAGTCACTGAATTTATTTTGCATACGAAATAATTTTAGCAAATTTTAATATTTTCACTGTGTTAATTTCAGAATTAATACTTAAGAAGTTATTAAATAGATCGTTTATCTTCATTTGATGATATGATCTTACACAAAGACACCAACTACTCTCATTTATCACCATTAAACCTCTTAAATTTTTAACCTTTTGGAGGCAACAATATGAATATTTTAACAATTTATGCAAATTTAATGATGTTCAGTATGTAGCGATACTGGGCCCGCCAGCTGCCGAGCTGTAAAATTGCTGAACACTAGTAGTTCCGACTTGAGTTCAATTCCGCGCCAACGAGCTGGCTGCATGGACGTTTTCGTGGTTTTTCCTAAGTCAAACGTATATACGAGTCAGTTTCCCTTAGATCGTCCTCCACAAAGGTATCCCTCCCTTAGGCAGGTAGCCCTTGTGCTTCGCAATATTCTACTGTACCGTAAAATCATTGTAACGATCCTGAGGGCCAAACATTGCTTGCAATATGAAACAGTTTAAATATCCGAGGCTATCTCATAGATGCACCTTTGCGACGTATCCTTGTTATCTTAACTGGTAGTGGAACTGGGAATGAGTAGATCAGAGTTAAATAGAGATATCTTAATTTATGATAAATAGCTTTCGATATTTAGTTCATAGGTAAAAGAAGATCGCGCTGTTGTTGCAAGTTAGTATCAAGAAGCATCGAAAATTTTAAAAAGTTGTGTTATCCCTCCTCTTAATTGTAATCCTACAATTCATTATCAAGATATTATTTTGTACTCTGTAAATTTGATATTATTTTGCTTCATAGTATTTTGTAATCTATAAATTTTTACTTTAGACAAAGCGATAATTCGCTGGCAATATAACGCTGTTAGATGAATAGTCTATAGCTAAAGTCTAAAAGCCTATAGCTAAAGTCAGGCTTAAAAATATAACCTTGAGTTTATCAGTAGTATTGCTTTCTATTTCATAAGAATATAAAATTGCTAACAAATAGCCTACATTTTATGAATATTCCCTAACTGCGTCGTAGCAAATTCAAAACAGTTAACCATTCACAATTTGAGATTCTCTTTCTTGACACTTATTTTTTGATAATTGTTAACAGCACCTGTCAGCGATGTATGATTGGCTTATTGGGCAATCTAATTTCTCTCTTTCTAATTATGAAAGAATTTCCACTATAGTGATTTTTTTCAAAAGTACATGCCAACTAATTCAAGAAAATAAACTAAGAAATAGATTGACTTAGATTAATTGATTAAGGTAAAAAACAACCCCTATATTGTGCTGAGAAAAAAGAGAACAATTTTGGAAATTGGAAGTTTAATCTAATTTTAAAATTTTGGAAATTTAAAGTTTAACAGCATATAAACCACAAAGCAACAAATGCTTACCAATGGTCAGAAACTAGACTACATCTTATATTTAAATGATAAAAACTGCTGTTTGTATAAAAATATCATTGTTTCTAAGTACGGGTTTGGCATAAGAGTTTCCAACACGGATTTGCTTCAAACGGATATAATGTGAAGCAAATTATGTTCATGTAGCAAAATTAAAATGAAGAAAATTTTTGTGTTGAGTGTAATAAAAAATATATTCATTGCGTACTGTTCGTTACAGTAGAAATAAGATGTTTGTAAGATAAAAGATTTTATTATGTATAAATCACGTGAGTACATTTTAATCATTAACTACTCCATGTGCTCTTATCTAAGCTTCTAGCATATTAGGATTATTCACGTCATATCTTTACTTTTTTATTTTTGATTTATAATAACAATTCGTTTTAACCACTTAAATAACACCAATAAATCCATTAAAGTTAATGAGCTAAAGAGAGAAGTTTAGAAATAATTTACCCCAAAGTACTTCATACGCTGTCAGGATGGAGTTTCTTTAATATTCATTAGATCTTGACTCAGAAGCTTATATGTGACTTTTGTTTGTTTTAGGTCCCCGTTTAAATATATATAGCAATCATAAAATGTCTGAGTTTTATTTTCAGAGTTACTAAAAACAGTTTGGTGAAATTATTAAAGTCTGCAATCTCTTACCCCATCAAATACATTTTCTCCATTTTTCTTAGAGTATCGATTCGCGTTCAAGAGAATTCGCAGCATATGTAACATTCTCTGCACATTCTAGAGCTCCCTCAGACTGGAACAGGTATTCAGAAATATTCCAGTCGCGTCAAAGGGTTGCTAGAAGAAGCTTTTCTTTTTCATGCATGGAAAAGTTTTGAGCTTCATATCTCTAAGCAGCTTTTACCCAAGAGTATAAAGGACTTCGATGTCCATAAGCATCTCCCATGAATGAGACTGAGTTAATATAGAAGTGCTGGAAGCGAGTGTTTGCGTTATCTACAGAAAGCCAGGTCTCTTTGCGAACACGACTTAGATATCCTTCTAAATGTATAATAAGGGGGCGTATAGGAATTAATTTATTCTATTAACTGATTTAATATCAGAGTACATCTGATATTAAAATTTCATGAATTTCTTAAAAGTTCGATATATGAATGTCATTCCCGTTATTAAAAAATATGGCAGAACTTAAAATATTGCATTTGATTAGAAGAATGTGAGATGTGTTGAACAGTTGTTTTAACTCTAAAGAACTAGTAAAATTATGGAATTTTAGAGAAAGAACAATATTTTGCCTCCATTAAAGAGCCTGACAACTCCATTAAGAGCTTGCATTTTAGTTCATAAGACTGAATGATATTACTGAACATCAAAGTTTTTTTTTATTTTTTCCTAATTTAGGCATAATAGCTCATTATTCAAGAAATAGACCTAGAGCTCAAGTGTTTGTGAACGGGCTTGTTGTATAGATGATATTATACTGTTTCCATATATGAGGTTAATGTTATTGTTAACGGGCTGGTTGTATAGGTCACATAGAGAGGTCAATGTAAGTTCCTTTTTCTTAGAAGCTCTGCCAGGAGTTCATTCTTTCCCTTTGGCAATGCAATGTTCAGGTAAATAAACCATTTAAATAGTATTGTGTGTAATTAGGCGACTTGTTTTCCTTTTTTACTTGTAAAATTGTGAGTAACTGTTTTGAAAGTAGCAATAAAAATAAGCACATTAGAATTTTATGAAGAATTCATGCTATAGTTATGCACTTTTTGATATTCTGGTAAAATAACATAAGGAACATTAACCAAGGAATTGTTACACACTTTCGTTACATTATCATGAGGGATGATTCGAAAATTTCTTTTTAGAAACTTTGATTTAGGATTGGGACCAGGAAATGTTAAAAAGAAGTACAATTACAAATTCCTTTTATAACCCATGTGCCATTTTTTTGACATACTAAGTTCGAAGTGCAATTGACTTGCAAACTTTATCTATCTTTCCACCTTGAAATTCGGTTTTTATTGCATCCTTATAATGTGTGCCGTTTTTCCCTTCATTTTAAAGGTCTAAAAAAGGATTAAAATATATAATTTAATTACTCTTCAATCTTCAGCAGTAATGCCTCGAGATTTACTAAGGGAAATATTATTTTAATGGAACAATACGAAACTTACTGATTAACAGATAAAAAATATAATAAAACATTTTTATTACTTCCGTAATTAAATTGCGAAATTTCACAATTACAATGCGCATTCTCTTAAAATAAAGAAGAAATAGAATTCCGCTGGAATCTAGGACTGAAATGAGAGGAGAAATAAATTTAATTTATAATTCATAAAGATAAATAAAGAGCAAAATACTGACTTACTTTCTTTAAGCACATATATCCATCAAAATAAGGAATCTTGTTTTCACGCAGAGCTCTCAGTTTGCAACGAAGAAGTAATTTAATTCGTTCTGAAATTAGTGCGCGATTAGTTTTTTTCTCTGCAGTCAACGTCTCTTCAAAATCTGGAATGAAAATAAAATATTTTGTTGAATTATTTTTATGTATTTCCAAGACAAAACAAGAACAGTAAATTAACTGAAATGGAAAGAACAAAAAGTGGAATCTCACAAAAATGAAATACTTTTGGAACAGAATGGAAATTATATTATTTAAAAATAACAGGGACATCACATTTTAACAAATATTACTTTAACAGCGTATATTTTAAGCTGAATTTCATTATTCCTTGTGACATTTGTTATGAACTAGGCAGTTTTAATACAGAATCGCATGTTACTACAGGCTAATAGTACGTAAGTTCAGAACCATTTTAGTATAGGAAAAGGTTGCTAATTGATTGTAGGTAAGTATTTCAAATTATGTGCATTTTTTCATTTCGGTGAATATTTCTACATTTTTTCCTAACATATGTTTCAAAACACATCAATGTTTTAAATTTGAAAGTGGAATTTCACATAAATGTTATAAAATTATATGCTGCTGATCTAAATATTATTATGCATTCGACGCATTTGATCTGAAACCTAGCTCTAAGGCCTGTTTTTGTAGCAATAAAAATAATCACATTAGAATTTTATGAAGAATTCATGCTATAGTTATGCACTTTTTGATATTCTGGTAAAATAACATAAGGAACATTAACCAAGGAATTGTACACACCTTCGTTACATTATCATGAGGGATGATTCGAAAATTTCTTTTTAGAAACTTTGATGAGCTTTACAAAAAGGTACAAATAAAGGTATCGTTTACAAAATTTTAGTAATCATTCACTTATACACTTAAGTACCACTGAATTAGGGATAGCAAGTCAACAACTAGTTGGTCTCCGCTGGCCTTGATAATGACCATGCTACACGACGAGGTATAGATTCAATTAGTTTGTGGAAGCATTTAACAGGAATGACTTCCGAAACTGATAGAGCTGCCCATATATCAGGAAGAGTCGCTAATGTTGTGTTATGTGGTTTCACACCTTTCTTCAAAACATCCCAACAGTGCTAAGTAGGATTTAAGTCAGGGCTGCTAGGTAGACAGTTCATAACAGAGAAGTAAGAAGAATGCTCATGCAACCAGGCTGTAGCCAACAGAAATCTGTGAGAGGTGTAGTTATCTTGCCGGAATTCTCCATTTCCGTGTGAATGACAAGGCAACATAAATGGATGGAGATGATCGCCCAGTAACTCTACGTACCGAATCATACTGAGTGACGTTGGTATAAGTCACAAAGATTGCAAAAATTACCTAGAGAAAACACTCCAGACCATGACAGCTGCCTTGGCATTCTACATTTCCAAACTGCCATACAGGATCCATGGCTTCATGAGCCTGATGTGATATTCTTAGCCTCCCGTCAGTGTTAAGTAGTCGGAATCGAGACTCATCATTCGTGCTATTCGTTTCCAGGCCTCTAGTGTTCATTCTCTGTATTCTGTTGTCCAGACAAATCCTGTAGCTCGATGGCTATACGATTTGTCAGGACAACAGACATTGAGCAACGGTACTTCCGTTGGCATACGGCTCCCGAAGCCAGTATGATGAAGCGTTGCACAATCCGTTTACTGACTATGCATGTATGGCTGTTTAATGTACAATGCCATGGCGGCTGTCATGGTATAAGCACGATCCATTTACTTATAATGGTGCCGTGATTCAGACGGATGGTACTTGGAGCTAAAGTTTGGCTTCGGTGGCTATGTACAATACGTTTCACACCATGCTCGTTCAAGGCTAATTATCCTTTGCAATTTGTTCGATTGTTAGGTTTTCTCCCACCATCCATGTATTCTGGATATTCTCTCCTCACTGTCGACCTTAAAAATCTTAGCTGTCTGACGATTTCGTAAATTTAATGGCCTACGCGTCGAGTGTCTACTATCTGTTCGCGACCTTAGGTATCTAAATCAGACATTTTACGCATATTGGCAAATGAAACGACTGAATAACAACAACCATAGTACTATCTATATACGCAGTTACTATAACGGCCTCATTTAAGCATTAATACAGCGTAGCGCAAGAACATTTGCATAGCTATGTCTATCCATATTTTAATTGCACTTCAGTGCATGCAGTCTATAAAATGCTTGCATTTATTTAAACTGGCTGGTAAGGTGTGAAATGATTAAAAATTCACACATTGCCCAGACATTCTATAAACTGCCAAATGATGGACCGCCAAAGTAGGAAATACATATACATGCAGTATTATATACAATGCCTATGGAAAATATACAGTTATTTCATGCAACGTATTGGCCGCTGTAATGAGTGCGATACAGAAATGTTTCTACGGACTTGAAACTTCAGAGAGAATTTTAAAAGAACTATGTACGAGATCACATTTCATTTTATGTTTTAAGAACTCACTGACTACAAAATTCCTTTCCGGTCACTTATTTTTGCTCAGTCCAATAGAAGTAGCCAAGGGTTCGTCAAATGTATGTGTAAAACAAAGTGCCAAAATATGAAATGGCTCTGTGTGAAAAAAATATGAATTGTCAATTTCAAAATATTATTGAAGTCTACCATATTGCAATAAATAGGTTGATTTTAATTTCTTATTTTTTACAGAAAAATTTGTTTCATTAATAAGAGAGGCAAGAAATTTATTTCCTAAACTTTCATTTGCACGTATGTATTTTGAATAAAAATGTTTTAATGCCATCTTTCATTATGTTGTCAAAATAGCATTCGTATTTTTGTTGAATGAGCGTCTTTTAAATAATAGCCTTATAATGACCTTTTTTTTATTCTTTGCTTAAGGAGCATTTGTCATTCTATAGGATGCCTATACATTGTATACAATGCCTAGTGAAATGTATAATTATTCTCGTATTTCATACTTTGCCTAAAAACGTCAGGCATTCTATAAATTGTCTAGATATGCTTCTTTTATAAATAACTCTTGTATGAAAATGAAGAGATCATTTTCAATGTCACAGCCACCCGGTTATTCGCAAATACGGAATAATGATGCCAAGCTATCTTTGAATTGAAAAAGTACTTTCTGCTTCATAAGAAATTTACATTTCATATATTCATTTCAATATTCCCTTTTGAGGTATCTGTTTGAAGAACTAAATATGTAATTTAACCCTCAAATATCTAATCCATTCCTGCATATTCTTGCTTAAATAGTACATTTACTGTACATAATCACTGGTAATCACAAGTGCACGTAAAAGAAAACTATGGTATTATTTATCTGTCCGAAGACTAAGATTTATTAACGTACCTATAAATAAACAATTTATATCAATACATTAATTATAGAAATCGATGCATATGCGCTACTTATGAGTCTTAGGGTATTGGTACTTTAGAATAATCACAAACTGGAAACGTATATGAAACAATTTATGAAACGACATTTATGAAAAGAACGCTTTAATGAATTGTTACAATAATTCTAAATTTTCTAAATTCACAGAATCCTATTTTTAATGCTATGGCTTATATCTTTGCCTTACTCTTAGCTTCTGAATGAACATCTAACCTAATTAATACATATTTAAACTACTTCAACCTTGTAAACTAAGATCTATTCAAACTATAATGCTTCGTTTAGCTTTTCCAACCTATGAAGGGACCAACTATTAACTCGAGATTAACACTATTGGAAGATTGGCATAATCGCTTGGTCACTTCGCAAGAGAAACGTTAACAAGTAAGATGAAATGCATTTTATTACATCATTTAAAATAGTAGAAGCCGCAGACAACAGGAAATTTCGTTAAAATTCCAAATTAGCTTTCATATATTTGAAGATAATGCAGGAATTAAGAGCTTACTTATAAAATGTCTAAATGTCCATTAATAGATTCCATTAAACAGAGCTGACGACTAAGTAAGTATTAGATAAACTTAGCAAAATTGGGAAAGATTACTAATCAATGCTGGAAAATGTTACAAAATACGGAAGTAAATATACTAAAGCTGTGTACACTTAATATATTAAGGTATGACTTAATAATGTGTAGCGTCATTAGGTTATTTTGAATTAGGAGACATAAAAAATGAGCAATACCCTCGCCGAGACTGGAGCCTGAACCTCTCGAATATGCACCGAGTCTGCTACTGTTACACCACAAAGGCTTGCTGGAAGGAAGAAGAAAATACCTTATATACTCTCCCTTTTAGATTGCAGCTGTGTATAAGAGAGGACTCAGTTGCCAAATCCTGGTGGTGACGATTTATCGTCCGTCACGTTTTTGTTCGGGCGAGCCATTAGGTTATTTGGAAGCATGGGACATGAAAAATGAGCATCGTCATCGCCGAGACTCGAACCTGGACCTCTAAAATATGTTCCGAGTCTGCTACTATTACACTACGAAGGCATGCTTCAAAGAGGGAGAAAATGCCTTATAAATTGACAGTAGAATAGTTAAGTAACTGTTTTGACATAACACAAACTTAAGCCTCAAGCAAGGTTTTCGATGTTTCTACGTAAGCAATGGATACTCTGCGCAAAATGAAACACTTTATTAATTTTAGGGAAGCGTTCAAAATATATTTATCCCAATTGTTACAAAAAGGCCGCTTAAAGAATAAAATATAAAGCAATCATGACTTCCCATTAAGCGTTTTGCTCTTAGAGTAATATATGTAATTAACGCAGTTGAGTTTCCCCGTGCTTTGAGTATAAAAACTATGATTGTTTTAATTACAATGAGTGAAAATAGTTTGGTGACTTCATCCGGTATAATAACATATCGCTTCTCGGCCTTCATAGCTAAGATTAAGTGTGTAATATAATTACATGTCTTCAAGTGTTTGGATCATATAGAAGATTGTAAAAGAAGTCAGTGAAAGCAAAAGTCTTTCGCTTCGAGAGAAACTATACATTGTAATTAGTTGGTGAATAAAAACATAACTCTTTCCAGTAAGACTCCTGTTGTGGAATCTTTGCAGATTGCCTGTAATCCCTTGTGTTTTTTTTATGTTGTTTAATCTTAAACCTTTGTAATTATTTAGTTTAGAATTGTTTTTAATTTCAATC